CATTACTGATTTGAAAACAAATATCGATGCAAAATTTCTTTTAAAAAATTATACATTAGTTTTTTTATCAAGTCACATACAAAATTAAATAAATATATAAATAATAAATTAATAAATATGATCAAAATATAGAAAAGAAATGAAGAAAAATAATATTTTCTTAAAATTAAAATCATAATATTTATAGAATTTAAATTCTATTAACTGTAGATTTTTTTTTAATGTTTTGATGTTTTTTTAAAGAATTATATGTAGATATAAAAAAGATAAAAATGTAAAGAAAATATGTATTAAGTAATCTAAGCCTAACTTTTAGGAAAGAAAGACTAAATAAAAAAAATATGGAATAAGAAAGAAATTGAGATAAATGAAGAAAAAAATGATGGGGACAAACAAATTTTAATTATTTTCTAATTTTATAAGGAAACTAAACAAAATTTAAGTAATTTAGTGGGGGCATGGCCCCCACTCATTAACAAATAGATCCGCCATGAAAACTTCAATTATGAAAGTAAATCGACGGTTAGATATACCTATTACGCTTTTGATTGTATCAAAGAGTAGTTTTGCAAGAGTTCTTCAAGTGTCACTGTGTATACGTTAGAAATTGTGGGTTCCTGGGTAAAATTTCTATATAGAACTAAATAAAAATAAAATTTATAATATATAAATAATGCATTTTTTTGTTAGAATTGATTTTTTATATGAAAATGTTTAACAATTTGATACACAAACGACAAAACAATGAATGGATACATATTGTGGAGCAAGCTTGTAACGCCGCGACTCAGCTTCAATCTGTGGCAAGAGTTCCTTAGACGACTCCCAACAAGGGATAGACTAATTCGATGGGGAATTGAAGTCCAACCTGTTTGCGTACTCTGCCAAGGGGTTCAAGAGACACAACCATCTTTTTTTTCCAATGTGAGTTCAGCTTGCAGCTTTGGTGCTTCTTTGCAGCGGAATGCTACCCGAATCCTCCTACTACTTTGGAAGGGTGCGAGGCTTGGATCCGAGGACAACGAGATGTCGGGGTTACTATGGAGTTTACTAAACTGATTCTTCAAGCAACGACTTATTTGATTTGGCGAGAAAGAAATGCAAGAATCTACCGGAGTGAGGCTTCTTCAATCGGGAAGATCAGGATGGAGCTTGACCAATTGGTACGGGACGTTGTGCTCTCTAGGGGGCTTTCTTCAGGTTCACCGGCAACATTGTTGGAGGATGGATGGCTCTCTCTTACATCGACGATTAGATCACAACTACGTTACTAGAATTTGTTTCTAAGTTTACACTACTATTTTGTCTAAGTCTATTTTGATGGAATCCAGTACCTTAGGAGATCATTTCGACAAAATGTCGGTTGTATACGAACAATAATTTTTTGAAGAGTTAATACATTTACCGTTATAAAAAAATAATAATTATAAATATATCGTAAAAAGAATATTTGAGCACAAAAGAATATGAGAAAAAATAATAATTTCACAAGGAAAATGGAATCAGATAAAGATAGTAATATATTTGAAGGAATATTGGGGATAAAGTGTATTTTTCTTCTTCTTATAATCTCATAGAAACAACTTGCATCAACTTAATCGGAACAAATTTCTGCAATAATCTATATTTTTTTTCTGATATAACAAAGAAATTTTGATCTATGTAATTTATTTCTTTTGGATGCCTCACAAGGTGTGGACAATTTTTTTTTTGTGTGTGTATATTAATAAATGTTAATGCATGTATATGTATATGAATACATATTCAAGGGTGGATCCACTTACAAATGACTGGAGGCACTTGCCCCCACTAATATTTTGAAAAAAATAAATATTACTTCTAAATTTAATTAATTATTAATAATGCCCCACTAAAATTGATGTAATGTCCCCTCTCTTTTTTTTCAAAACTTTCTCATTTCTTTCTTATATTTCTTTCTTACGTATTCTTTTAAAAAAAATCTTTTTTCTCTTTTATCAAATAAAAAATCAATCATAAAAAAATAAAAGTAACAAAAATATCTAATAAATCTTAATATTGTTTAAATAACTTTATTTATTTATTATTTATTTTTATCATACTTATAAATTTTTAATATAAATTTATTTAATATTATATTTGATTTCATAGAAAAATCAATTGATAATTTCTCAAAAACAATTATATCTATATCTTAAAATAGTGGTAAATTTTCAATCGGTAATATTGATTTGGATTATTTGATTGAATAAATTGATTTGGATTATTTGATTGAAGATCCTATTGATAGAAAAATATTAAAATATCATTTTAATCATATATATATATATGAGATAAGACACAAATATTTGATTAAATGACCTTATCAACCATGTAATCATGATTTTTCAAAAACGATGATTGAAAATAAATAGAAACAATTTAATCTAATTTGATTTGATCGATACAATGATTGGTTAGAGTACAATATAAAAAAAAATATAACTTTTTGTTTGCTTGTTTAGAGAACAAGTTGGGAATAATATTTTTGTAACAATAGATTTTTCAAATTATTTTCTAACAGTGAAATCAAAGAAATATCTTTCATATCTATTAGTATACATTTTTTTAAAAAAATTGTTTCGATTTTATATATTTCCATCGCGACTGTTAAAAAATATTTTTCACCAATGAATTTTATGGAAACAGTTTTGCGCAACCGGATTGATAATTAGTTTTTGAGTAATTGTCTGTATTTTTGTTTTATCGAAAAGATATATTTCATATATAGTTATAAATGAAGTTGTTATAAATTTATTTTAAAAAATAAATGAGAGTATAATTCAATTGTAGGACGAAAAATATTTACGTGATGATATATTTTTTGTATTTTATATTATATTTATAATTAATGTTGCCATTGAAAAAAAATTCTGGATCCGCCACTGTACATATTTGTGGTTGTATAAAATATGAAATGTTCACTTCCCTATCAAATCTTTTGTTGTGTTTCATTTTGTGGAGCACAAAATTAAAATAATATTTTCAAGTCCTCAAAGCTATATCATGTGTATTTATCTCGGAAAAGAACCCTATTCTATGTCATTTTTATGGGTCGTCCATATGTAGAGGGTAGAATAGCACGAAATATAACTCTAAAGATATTCTTTTGAAAAATATAACGAGCTATATACATTGTTCATGTCGCGCAGATACATGAGTAGGCATGCAGACCAAAAGAGGATCACAAAAGATATGATCAAACGGAATTTAGATTATTTTTTCTTAAATTAATGACTAGTATATTTATTGTTAGGATTTTCACATAATTATTTACGACCTTTTTTGTATGTTCGTTCACTTTATACAAGTACATTAAATATCTACAATTCAATTAAAAATTATAAAATTTTGGAAATAAATTGAAAATCATTAAGTGGAAAAAAAAAGAGATGGGGCCTTGTGAAAGCTTTTGGTAGAGCAAGCTGTATGTGTTTTTTTTTTATTCTTGTTCAATTATGAGATTCCCAATTTAACATTACTAGTGTGGTATCCTACATGTCTTTTCTTACATATCTTTTCATTTTTACTTCATTAATTGGAAAATAATTCAAATAATATAATAAAATAAAAGTTATTCTTTTCCCCCTATCCTTTCAATTGATGTGTTTTTTGGTTCATGCAAAGCGTAAGAAAGTGGGTAACTTTGTACTAAGTTAACTAAAATAGAATATTTCAAAAGTTAACTTCATTTGATGTAACTTGTGCATGCATGCATGTCAACTGTAAAAAAAAACTAAACTGTTAAGTCCTTCTAGTGATCTCTCAATAAGAAGCTTTTCATGGTTCCACTTATAAATTCCAAAATAAAAAAACAAGTTTATGACATTATTGTTACATAGGAAAATGGCTTCAATGTGGTATGAATACTAAGTAGATGTTTTATGTTAAATATATAGAATTGAACCTTGCCACAAGGATTATATGAGATAGATCAATTGTGTATTGGAAAAGTAAAATCAATTTGGTTTACATTAAAATGATATAATAAAATATTCACATTTCATTAAAGAGTGATAGAGTATAATTTAGGGAACAGTGACAAGATAAATATTTGGGCTTATTGGGCCTTTATAGGTTTGGTTCGTTTGTGTCAGCTTTTCATCTTTCCTTTTACTTCATCGCCAACCATATCAATACGATCGTGTACCGAAAATATCATATACACGAATAGTGGTTTTTCACTTGACGTTGAAACCTAAATAAGAAATTCTGAACGCAAGGTGATAAAAATAAGATAAAGTAAAACAAAATAAAATCTTAAGGGTGAAAATGAAATTAATAGAAGAATAAGGTTAAATGAGAGAGGAATCTGCATTTGGAACTTTTAAATTTTTTTATGATGGTGTGACATTATAAATGGCGTGACAATCTTCGACGAGGTGGTAACAACGAGTTCGCAGTTGAAAGTTGCCATGTAGGATTGAATTCACGATACAATAAGCCCGTGTGTTCTTGGGAAATGTTGAGGAAATTGAAATACTCATATATTAATGTATGTCAAATTTATAATTCAGATTTTCCTTGTTATAAATAATAAATATTTTATCACGATTTGTGTTATAATCCGTTTCTAATGAATCATAACTACTATTTTATTTTCATAACTACTCGAATCGAATTGATCATCGCCATCTTTAATTGATGACAAAATTGGGTTTTTTTATATATAAAAATGTTCTTGAAAAAACGCTTTCCAAACCCTAAAATGGACTCTGAGGCAAGCTCCTTTGTAAACTATTGAATCGGCCCACATCAGCCCATTTTGGGCTCAACGTGTTTCATTTACAAGGTCGATTAACATTATTCGACAATGCAAAATGAAGCTACGGGCATTCAATACAATTTTTTTTTTATATAAAAAAATAATCTCTCTGTAAAATGATTAGTATCTTTGTCGAGATGAAATTCGATATCAGTATCCTTTTTATGAATTGAGAAAAAAAACACCAAAAGGTATCTTCACATGCATGGCTACAATGGCAGCGCTAATTTTAGCTCAGCCTTGGCGGAATCACTATTTTTATGCTTTCCACTAATCTCATTCTTTTCAAATTCATCTCCTCCTTGAGAAAGAAAGAGAGAGAGGGAGAAACGCCATGCCTTCTCCTCGTGGAGAAGAAACACAACCCAAAAGGGAGACAACGGGTCAAGCCTCCTCCGGACATGGAACCCACCGACCACTGGCTCCGCCGCATCCACAACCGCCGGAAAACCTCCCTCCGCCGTATCCTCCGGTGATGGGCTATCCGGGTAACCCAAATTATCCAAACGGACCCTACAACAGCCATTACGTATCTTACGCTCAAGCCCCACCTGCATCATATTACCCGACCCAACAACAGTTTCCGGGTCACCGGAGCCCCGACTCGGTGTCCGCTGGATTCTTCCGAGGGATCATCACCGGACTGATAATCCTCGTGATCATCCTCTGCCTTTCCACCGTCGCGACCTGGCTCATTCTCCGACCCCAAATCCCGATCTTCGCCGTGACCCATTTCTCCGTATCGGGTTTCAACGGGACCCGACCCGATTTCTTCACCGCCCAGTGGACGGCGAATCTCACGGTGGAGAATCCTAACGCGAAGCTGAAAGCGTACTTCAACCGGATCCAAGGGTTCATATACCACCAAAACTCCATCGGAGAGGACGAGTTGTTAACCACTGGGTTCTTCACGCCTGTGTACGTGGAGACAAAGAAGACGGCGGCGATCGGAGAGAGGTTTTCGGCGGAGAAGGCGGCGGAGAAAGGGGAGCAGCCGGCGGTTCCGGGATGGGTGGCGGAGGAGATGAGGAAAGAGAAGGAGAGCAATGGAACGGTGTCGTTTAGCTTAAGGATGTTTGTTTTGGTGACGTTCAAAGCGGAAGGTTGGTCGGCGAGAGAGAGAGGGCTTAAGGTGTTATGCGAGAAGTTGAAGGTTGGGTTTGAAGGTGGTGGGTTTGGAAACGGCGCCGTTTTGTTGCCTAAGCCTTCGCCTTGTTTGGTTTACATTTGATGTTTGACAAAAATATAATTTGTGGGGAAAAAAACATTTTTGTGTATTTCGAGGTATTTTTATATTAGATTTTTAAATTGATGGTGGTCACGTTTGATTTATAATTTGATTAGAATTTGTAACTTATGTTAACTGGGATGAGCATTTCAGATATTATTTTATATTTAGTTCATTTTTACATTGGAAAAACATTTTTAGATTTTAGAAAAGCTATGCCGTTATATTTTTATGTTGAATTCTTTTCTATTCGAAATATTCGTTTTCTAAAAATTATCTCTCTGTTTTTTTTTTCAGTTTTTATCTATGAATTCGAATGATTTATTTATAAAAATTATAACTATTTACATTTTTTATATCACATTCAAATCCCATTTATTTATTCTCATTTCGTCTAAATCAATTGGGTATTGTTAAATCTCTGATTTTAACAATAATAATGTCTTGGTGTAATGGGTAGTCCAAACACAACACTGTCGCAACACCAACTCATAGGGAGTGTTAATTGGACTGATCGGGTCGAATCGGACTCGACTCGGCTTTAAGATTTTTGGGTCGAATCGGATCAGTCTAGTAAGATTTTGAGTCTATATTTGAAACTTTGAAACCCAACCCTCTAGAATTTTAAGACGGATTAAGAACGGACTTCAAATTTTTTTAATAATAAAAATAATTTTTATTTATAATTGCAACCATAAAAATAATATAATTGTATATGTTTACATATAAAATATTTTTAAAAAATATATTTAAAATTAACAATATAAAAAAATCATTTAGAAACTAAAAAAAGATCGGAAAAAACTGATATTAATTGATAGTTGTAGTCAACTTTCAAATATATCCTTTAACAAAAAAAACTTTCAAATTTATCTAGTTCACATCCATTGTTGGTTTAAAACCAACAATGTAATCACATATAAAATATTTTTTATATGTGAAAGATCGAAAAAATCAACATATAAAATATTTTTTAAATCACAATATAATCGCATAAGATCACATCATATCAATCACAATCGCATCCGCATGACCGCATCATAGGGCTGATCCTGTCAGATCCTCGTCACCACTATAGCACTGACTCGTTCGTAAATCGGTGCAGCATACGCCTCACACGTTCATTACCTCACATGACGGTTGTTGTCACCTCGCGTGACAATAAACGCCTCACACGTTTGTCACCTCACTGACTGTATGCACCTCACACGCTCGTCACCTCACGTGACGGTGATGGTTGTCTCACGCAACCATGTACAAACACAATCATGCTCCCCTCGCATCGCACGAGCAAGCTACAAACATGACATACATCATGCACATATACCCTAGTACAATCACACGTATCCCGGTATTCAATCCCGATCGACGTATCGTTTACGCCATGTAAACTACCCTTAAATAATCAAGCAACGAGTCGCTGTCGCCGTTGAATCGCACATCTCACTACGCATGACTAATCGAAAACTCGGCGAAGAACATGTTTTGTATATTGGATCGGTCGGTTTAGGCAACAGACCGGTTTGTCCAAGCTTGTCGTTCTGTCTTGGCCTCTCGGTCTCAGCCCAATCTCAGTCTCGGTCTACAGTATTGCTAGATCGGTCGGTGCACATGTCTATACCGGTCGGTCCAGACGTCCGTCTCATGGTTCCACTTGTCATAGGTCCAGAATGGACGGTCTGGGGTTCTAGACCGATCGGTCTAAGGCTTGGACTTCGTCTTCCTCGCGAAAACTCAGTTTTGGTTCGACTTTCCTTGGTTCATTCTCACTCATTTCTCAACCAAATTGACCAAAACTTGTTTCTAAATGTTCCTTGTATTCTAAGTCTAAACCAAGCATCAAATCAGTGAACTAACACAATCACACGATGAAAATGAGATCACACGGGTGCAACTCAAGCCACTCACCTCTGTTTCGGCTCATATCTGGTTTGGCCATGTGACACCCGAATCCCGTATCTCGTGAACAGGATATGCCACATGGATGAAACCAATAAAATATAATAAAACCAAAAGTACGGAAAATTAAAAATTATTTTTAAACACAAATATGCAGCAGAATAAACACATCACACGTCTCTCTAATAACACATGTCCAAAAACGTAATTAAACACATCCGTCTTCACATGGAACCTTGTTCCACGGTCCAAAACACACGAAAGAAAGATAATACGTTCGTACATGATGTTACTTTCACCAAGTCATCGTTGTCCAAAGTGCGCTACTCGTGTTCCTGGGATCTGAAAAATTCAACGATGGAGGGCTAAGCATAATGCTTAGTGAATGGTTCGGGTTGAGCCCGGAGAGCCCATTCTCATGGAGAACGGTGCCAACTAATCTCTCAATACAAGAATTTCCTTATTTTATCCATTTAACATTTTCTCAATAATCATTTTTAATTCATTATCATTATTCCATACATTTCCGATACCTGATAGTACTGACTCAAGTCGTCAACCGGCACCATCAGGTACCATTTCCTTTCGGTATCATCTAGTACTGACTCAATTCGTCTACGGTACTAGATTCCACCCTGCTTCTCTATAATAGTACTGACTCCACTTCGTCAACCGGTACTATTATAGAGACGACCACACAGATTCACCTGTACTGACTCCACGTCGTCAACCGGTACTGGCTTCACTCCACATTCCCATAACGGTACTGACTCCTCCTCGCCGATTGGCACCGTTATCGAATCGTCCACCCAACAACACTAGTACTGACTCCACATCGTCAACCGGTACTGGTGTTACATTTCGGTAATAGTACTGACTCCAAGTTCGTCAACCGGTACTACTACCGAAATGTCCACATCAACCCTCCAATACTGACTCAATTCGTCAACCGGTACTGGGTCCATATCCACAAGTTTCTGTAATAGTAGTGACTCCAAATTCGTCAACCGGTACTACTACAGAAACCAACCACACACCAGTGCTGACTCCAAGGTCGTCAAACGTCACTGGTTCCATATCCACACGTACTAGTACGGACTCACGCCGTCAACTGGTACTAAGTACGGGGCCCATCAATCATTCAATCACATGCATCCCCATACAATTATTTATCCTTTATTTCTATATTACCATTTCCGAGTTTTTCTCTTGGATTTATCCTTCGTATTCACTTCGGTTTATGGTTCAATTCTTTCATTCTATGCACTTCCACCTTTTTCACATTCGTTCGACATACTTGTTTTATCATTTTTCGTTTGATTACAACTTAACACCGTATTCTAGTTTGATCCATTTTAACCTATAGTCGGGGTTCCTAAGAGATCGATTCTAGGATTTGCGCAGCGGATGTAAAACAAAAATTTGTATGAAACCCTAGAACCATTCATGTATGAATCGTAGAAACGTTAGAACGCTTATCTCAATTGATCCGTGGCCTGTATCAATTGACGTGTTCGTCCGACCACGAAAGGGAGGAAGATTACCTCGCCTCTACACGTATCCACACCTCGGGATGGATTCCAATGATTGGAACTTGTATGCTAGGACCCGAATCTGCTACTCAGTATATTGCTTCTGTTGGTTGTGATGCTCTAGGATGATCCGTGATATGACACTTTGACTTTGTATTGATTCATTGATTTATGAATGCGTTACATTCCGTTATATGATTGGCATGTTTGTTATATTTCGGTATCCTTGAATCATTATAGAATGATTCTAAACTCCCTGGTCAGTTATCATTGTGGGAACAATGATGAATTAAGACTAGCATGAGGTGTGATTGATGCATTGGATGCATATCACAATCATGGGTACTCGTTGTGAACGAGTGACTGGTTGACCCGCATGAGATTGTCACATGGACAGAGTCATGACTTGAATCTCATACAGCGGTTCGTTCTTGGATCCTCAGACCTGAGATGTCTAGAGTATCTGATATGAGGAGTGGCGTGTCTTGACTGCGTCAAACGTCGTCTTTAACCGGATGATCATAACGGCGTTGATCAGATACGTTCACAAATCATATGGAGATAATAGACATGCAATATGGGACTTATCACCTCCTCAATAGGAGAGATATCGCTGGGCCCCTCTCGTGGAAGTCGGACTATGAAAACGCGTGGCCACGCTATAGATGAAGTTGCATCTATTTTATTAGTCAATTTCGGAAAAACCGTTTTCGGATCAAATCAGAGTGTCAGGACGTTTTCAGCCTTCTGACTCGGACCGAGTCAGTATTTGACTCGGACCGAGTCAGTTCCATGCGGGTCGAAGCCCAGAAAGTGTTTTAAACTTGGCTGATGTTTTGACTCGGTCGAGTCAAAGTTTTGACTTGGACCGAGTCAATACTAAATGGGCCGAGTCAAGAGTTGACAATGAGCTTGGGCTGATTCGTTCTGACTCGATCGAGTCAGAGTTCTGACTCGGACCGAGTCAATACTCGGAAAAAGTCTCTTTTCACAAGGATTAGGGTTTCTAACTTATAAGGAGGTGTTGGACGCCGTCCTAAGAGAGAACTCGACTTACAGAACCCTAAGACAGATCTAGAACATAAGAAAATCGTTCCTTTTGAGGTTCTAGTTCTAGGGATTCGATCCCAAGTCTTGAAAACCTTATTCACTTCACAGATCCTAGCAGATCAGTTCCAAAAGCATTTGGAATCCTTTCCGTCGGTGTGGATACGTGTAGAGGAGCTGTACTTTCAGCTCTTGGTGATTAAAAAAGGCCCTGGATCGATTGCTACTTTCAGATCTTCAGGAAAGAGGTAAGTATTCGATTCCTACGGTGATATACACGATCTGTCGGGGTTTTACGGATGATTTTGGTTGCGTGTGACGTTTGACTAGGTTTAGATTATTCTTCCCTGCATGAAACCTAGTAAACCAAATCCTAGATCGATATGATCGCATGCTAGGAACCCGTAGTCGCATGCTAGGAATCCGTAGTCCAAAACCCAACAGTGGTATCAGAGCCTGGTTCTCTGTATATCGCCGTGCTTGTCGCATGCCTATATGAATTTTAATGGTTAAAATTGCATGATAGGCTTGATCTATGCATATTTAATGATGTTATGATTGTTATTTGATGCATGGATGAGTTTGGGGGTCGAAGACGGCTTGA